TTTATTTTTTATTTTTCATCAAAACCTTCAATTTTTGGTTCTTGGCCCGAAGAATTCTGACCAATGTAGAGCCGTAGATTGTAAAGAGAAGTTGGAGAATTCTCTCTTTTCCCTCTCTTCCCCTCTAATTTCAAAAATCTGATGGGTATGAGGAGAAAATCTGATTTTGTTTCTCTATTTATACCCCTTAGATGCTTGGCCCTCGTTGCGCCACATGTCCTCCATTCCTGGGTCCCGTTTCATCCCAAAACAATTAAATTCATCTTGATTCAAGTTCAAAATATTTTTATTTCAACTAGCTTTAATTTATTTTTTAATTTTTAAAATTTAATTCCACGTCTCGTTTTTAGGCCACGCTACACCCGATTGCCCGAAAAAAAAACAAAAAATTTGATTGTCCCGAAATTCAACGAAAATTAACTGGGTAACTAGATTTCGTGAGACAAACCGAATGGTGAGGTCCATTTCATCATCCGAATTCCAGAAAAATTTGAGTTTTCAACCCATACCACAGTGGTTAATTACCGTTTTGCCATTTTTCATAAAAATTTTAATTTACTTGGGTTTTTATACAATCACATTTCGTCACCTGTCATGTTTGATATACTTTTATAAGATGTACTTTAAATTATATTATGTGTATTGTGATTAAAATCTAATCGCATAAATTTAATCTCGCGATACCCTATTGTATTGTAACACGAAAATCCGACCCTATTGAAATTTGATGAAAATTGACTAACTAGTTAGATTTTGTAATATGAATCCAATAGTAAGGTCCATTTCAACATCTGATTTCTAGAAAAAAAAATTAGATTTTTAACCCTTATTTTAACAAGTAATTATTGTTTTATCCTTTTTAATTAAGTTTTAATTTTCTCAGTTTTCACAAAAATTGCCAAATCAGGATGGGTCATGCTTTATCATGACCGATCTTCATTTCCTCAAATGGTTAATAAATTTTTTATCCCTAAAATATGCAGATTTTGTCAGTTTGATACCTAAAATATAAATTTGTTCAATTTTATCTCTAAAGTATTCAATTAACATGCACTTTAGAAATTTGACATCACATTAACCTCCAATTCATTCAAGTAGCATTCAAATCATCAAATCAATATTCAAAAACATCCAACTAGCATTCAATTCATCAAATCAATGTCAAATTAATATTTAATTCATCAAATGAACATTTAAATTCAACTAGTTAACATTAAATTAATCAAATTAACGTTTAATTTCATCCAATTAACATGCGATTCATTAAATTAATTGTCCATGGAAGAGATTCATCTAGCATTGAAATCAAATTACACTTTCTCTAAGTATGACTATGTCAAAGAGCCTATTTGTTCATAAAAACACAAGAGGCTTTTTCTCTGATGGAGAGGACGATGTTTTAGCACCTATTTTTGATTGTGAATCTAAATTAACATTTAATTCCAATTAGCCCAATTCATCAACTTAACATCCAAAATCATCCAATAAAGATTCAATTTATCAAATCAACATCAAAGTAACATACAATTTCATCAAATTAATATTCAATTCAATTTATCAAATTAACATTCAATTTCATCTAATAAACATTCAATTTATCAAATTAACATTCAATTTCATCCAATTAACTCCCAATTAATCAAATTACTAAAATAACATTCAATTCATCCAATTAACACTCAATTCATCAACTTAACATTCAAAATCATCCAATAAATATTCAATTTATCAAATCAACACCAAAGTAACATGCAATTTCATCCAATTAATATTCAATTCAAGTTATCAAATTAATATTAAATTAAGATTTAATTTCATCTAACAAACATTCAATTCACCAAATTAACATTCAAATTCAACTAATTAAACTTAAATTCATGAAATTAATATTCAATTTCATCCAATTGATATTTAATTCATAAATTAACACCAAATTAACATTCAATTTATCTAATTTATTTTCAAACTCATCCAATTAACTCTCAATTCATCAAATTAACATCCAAAATCATCCAACAAAGATTCAATTTATCAAATCAACACCAAATTAACACGCAATTTCATCCAAATAATATTTAATTCAACAAATTCACATTCATTTCATCTAATAAACATTCAATTCATCCAATTAACAATCAAAATCAACTAGTTAACATTCAATTCAATTCAATTAATATTCAATTTATCAAACTAATACCAAATTAACTTTTAATTCATCCAATTTATTCAAATGCATCCAATTAGCACAAAATTCATCAAATTAACATCCAAAATCATGCAATAAACATTCAATCTATCAAATCAACACCAAAGTAACATACGACTTTGTCCAAATAATATTTAATTCATCTAATTAATATTCTATTTTCATCTAATTAATATTCTCCTTTCATCTAATAAACATTCAATTCATCAAATTAACATTCAAATTCAACTAGTTAACATTAAATTTATCAACTTAACATTCAATTGAATTCAATTAATATTCAATTTATCAGACTAATACCAAAGTAACTTTTAATTCATCCAATTTATTCAAATGCATCCAATTAACACAAGATTCATCAAATTAACATCCAAAATCATCTAATAAAGATTCAATTTATCAAATCAATAACAACATAACATGCAATTTCCTCTAATAAAAATTCAATTTGATGAATGTGATTTATTTGATGAAATTAAATGTTAATTTGATATTAATTTGATGAATTAAATATATTGTTAATTTGATAAATTTAATTTTAACTAGTTTACTTTGAATGTTAATTTGATGAATTGAATGTTAATTAGATGAAATTAAATGTTAATTTTGAATTAATTTGATGTACTAAATTGAATATTAATTTGATGAAATTACATGCTATTTTGGAGTTGATTTGATAAATTCAATTTTTTTTTGATGATTTTGGATGTTAAAATGATGAATTGAGTTTTAATTGGATTATTTTGAATCTAAATTGGATGCATTGAATGGTAATTTGGTGTTAATAGGATGAAATTGAATGTTAATTTGGTATTAATTTGATAAATTTGAATATTAATTGGATAAAATTGCATGTTACTTTGATGTTGATTTGATAAATTAAATCTTTATTGGATGATTTTGTAAATTAATTTGATGAATGGAGTGTTAATTGGATGAATTGAATGTTAATTTAGTGTTAATTTGATAAATTGAGTGTTAATTGGATGAAATTAAATGTTAATTCGATGAAATTAATGTTAACTAGTTGAATTTGAATGTTAATTTGGTGTTAATTGGGTGAATTGAGTGTTAATTGGATGAAATTAAATGTTACTTTCGCATTGATTTTTTCAATTGAATCTTTATTTAATAATTTCGTATATTAATTTGTTGAATTAAGTATTAATTAGATGAATATGAATATAAAGTGGATGAATTAAATGTTAATTTGATGAATTGAATATTAATTGGATTGAATTGAATGTTAATTTAGTGTTAATTTGATGAATTGAATGGTAATTTGATGAATTTAATGTTAATTAGTTGAATATGAATGCTAATTTGATGAATTAAATTTGTTAATGTGATGTCAATTTGCTAATTGCGTGTTAATTAAATACTTTAGAAATAAAATTGAAAAAATTGCTATTTTAGGGACTAAATTCACAAAATGTCCATACTTTAACAATAAATGTGTTATTAACCTATTTTAGAATGAAATTGTCAAATCAGGCATGACATGACCGGTCCTTATTTGTTACAAATCATGACCGGTCATGTACTGGAAAAGCGGTACCAAGCCAAATAGAGGTAATTACCAAAAAAAGTGTAACATTAGTCTAAATAGTGATAATCTAACCCAAAATGTGGTAATTTATTCCAGGTTCTTTACCCCCAAAAGGTGGTAACTTAACACCTAAAAGGTATGTTTGCTTTAGGTATTAAGAAAGAAGATGTAAAATCCCAACCCATTTCCATATACTCAATGCCAGGAAAACGAGTTTGAAAATAACATAATTTGACATAACTGGGCAATATCACAATAGTCCACTTTATACGTAAGTAATAGAACATAAAACATTGAACGAAAACATTTAAGTTGAAAACAATAATACGATCAAAACATTAATACAGTGGTGCACCAGTGGGCGATCATCCTAATAGACCATTCAGGGTCCATATGCACCTTTTGGGGGACTTTCACCCTGAGGAAGATACGTTCTGTAGTAATAATTCAGTGCCTAAGTCCGAAGACCAACTAGGTTACCCGGGCATTTACGAACTCAATGAGTACCCTCTACAGCCTCAAAATAGAACGTAAACCCTCCGCCACTTGACTATTGTGTAGTTACATTTCATTCAAAAGGACCCCGGTGTTTCATTCAATACAAACAATACAAACATTTCGAACAGTTGTGTGAAACTACACTCAAAACCATAACCCAGGTCTGAATTCTAAGTCAATATTCAAATATCCAATCATATATTTCAAAAATATTCTAAATAATCATAAATAACATATGGAATAATTTTTAAAAAATTTTGAAAAGCATCACCTATTTCATAATTGAGAAACCCTACCAGTCTCGGTATTGTGATATGAAATAGCCAAAAATTAAACAATGTTATTTTTCAATGAAATTTCATACACTTATTCAATTAAGATACCTAAGAATGAATATAAAATTTATTTGGAAAACATCACCCAAAAATTGGGTCGAATTTCCCCCGAATGGCAAAATAGACATTTTACACCACATATTGATTTAGATATTGGATTNGATTAATCAATACATTTCTCAAAAAATCACAAACAAGTAATTTCTAAGTACCTAATTGATGCTAAAATTGATTTTTTTTAACTATTCTCAATACCCAAGCATGTTATAACATTTTCAATGAAACCAACATGNTGCTCCAACGGGCTGAGGTCCTTGCCATTGGGTGAGCTTTTATGGGCAAGCATGGGTGAGCTTCATAGGCAAGATATTATGGGCGAAGATCATGGGTGAGCTTCTATGGGCGAGCTCCTATGAACGAGCATGGGCCAACTGGGCAATCTCCTATGGCCAAGCATGGACGAGATCCTATAGGCGAGCACCATGGGCCAGCTTCATGGGAGAGCTCCTATGGGTGAGCATGGAAAAATAACTTGAAAAACTTTGGGAGGCCAAAACGTATGTTTCTAAGCCAAAACTTATGTAGGGCTCGTCAAGTGCTTCGATTTGATATATAATAATCACCATTTGGAAAATAACTTGAAAAACTTTGGGAGGCCAAAACATATGTTTCTAAGCCAAAAATTATGTAGGGCTCGTCAAGTGCTTCGATTTGATATATAATAATCACCGTTTGGAGTAACATAGCAAAAGTTATAGTCAAAATAGCAATCAACCCTTCTTGAACTTGAATTTCTTGGAGGCTCCTTTTAATTGGCGACTCCCTTCCTTTCTATTATATTCCACCTTTGAAGGACTTCTCAAGACCTTCTCCATTTTATATTTGGAACTTGGAGATGAGAAGGAGGCGCTGGGGAGCTGGACTCCTTGGGGCTGGCACTTGAGAAGCTGGGGGCCTAGTGGGCTCCTAAGAGATGTTGGACGCCTAAGAGGTGTTGGGCGCCTCAGAGGTATTAGGTGCCTGGTTTGACGAGTAGGAGAGGCTGTTGCGCTGTGTAAGAAGGGTTGTTGCGTTGGTTAGGTGCTTAGGAGAGCCTACTTCACTGGCTAGGCGCGTAGGAAAGGCTGCTACGCTACGCAGGAGGGGCTGCTATGGTGGGCAGGAGAGGTTGCTTCGTTTGTTGGGCATNGTCCAAGACATTTCTACACCCTTCTCCCTCATTTCCATAACAATAAAAAATGATATACATATTCTACACATCACCATTTCACAAAAACATCTTAGGGTAGAAGTGAACCAGAGTAGGAGAACCCCTACCCCTTGGAGCATAAAAGAAAGGGAGAAAGCTTCAAGANGCTGCTATGGTGGGCAGGAGAGGTTGCTTCGTTTGTTGGGCATGTAGGAAAGGCTACTGCGCTGGCTGGACGCGTAAGAAGAGCGCTAATGGAGTGCCACCCATGGCACTGGTCGTAGTTGGAGGGACGCCAATGGCACTGGGCACTACTGAAGGGGCGCGCTAGGCACCATTAGAGGAGCGCCTATGGCGCTAGGTGGGATGTTCCAGGCATTAAGTGCTAGCGGTGAGATGCCTATAGTGTTGGACCCTACTGGCGAGGCACCTGTAGCGTTGGGTGTTACTGGTGAGGCACCTATGCTGCCAAGCAAGATGCAGTTGGCGATGGGTGCCTCTTGTGAAACNTACTCCAACGGGCTGAGGTCCTTGCCATTGGGTGAGCTTTTATGGGCAAGCATGGGTGAGCTTCATATGCAAGATATTATGGGCGAAGATCATGGGTGAGCTTCTATGGGCGAGCTCCTATGAACGAGCATGGGCCAACTGGGCAATCTCCTATGGCCAAGCATGGACGAGATCCTATAGGCGAGCACCATGGGCCAGCTTCATGGGAGAGCTCCTATGGGTGAGCATGGAAAAATAACTTGAAAAACTTTGGGAGGCCAAAACGTATGTTTCTAAGCCAAAACTTATGTAGGGCTCGTCAAGTGCTTCGATTTGATATATAATAATCACCATTTGGAAAATAACTTGAAAAACTTTGGGAGGCCAAAACATATGTTTCTAAGCCAAAAATTATGTAGGGCTCGTCAAGTGCTTCGATTTGATATATAATAATCACCATTTGGAGTAACATAGCAAAAGTTATAGTCAAAATAGCAATCAACCNAAGTTGGTCCAAGACATTTCTACACCCTTCTCCCTCATTTCCATAACAATAAAAAATGATATACATATTCTACACATCACCATTTCACAAAAACATCTTAGGGTAGAAGTGAACCAGAGTAGGAGAACCCCTACCCCTTGGAGCATAAAAGAAAGGGAGAAAGCTTCAAGAACATCTCCCAAGCCCCAAAACTCTTGATTTCACTAAATCCTTCCCTTGGATCTTCGGTGAAATCCCTCGTTCTTGGTACATAGACATAGCCCTCATTGCATGGACCAAATTTAACTCCTGGTCCGAAAGATTCCGATCGACGAAACTTTTTGGATCGAAGAAAGAGAGGTAGAATTTCTATTTTCTCTCTTCTCTCTCTTCTAACGTCTAAACATAGCTAGCGAAGGGTGAGAAATATCTGATTTTTCAGATATTTCATCCTATTTATACTTTTAATTGCGCGGTCCACATTGTCCCGCTCGTTTATCAGTTCCGGGTCCGTTTTTAACTCGAAACAACTTAATTAAATTTTGGTTTTCGTTCAAATTAATTTTATTTGAACTTTTACTCAATTATAAGGAAATTTCATAATTTTTGTTTTTGGGGGCCTTTAAAAGTTCATTCGTCGCCCAATTTTCTCGAAAAACATCTAAAATCCGACTATTTCGTAATCCGACAAAAATTGACGTGATAACTCAATTTCGTGATACTAATCCAATGGTGAAGTCTGTTGCTCCATCCGAGCTCTATAGAAATATGCATTTTAATCCTGCATACTTGTGGTAATTTATTATTTTGCCCTTTTTCCAAAAAAGTTTAAATTTTTCCGGGGTTTTACATACACTGTCAGAAGTGTATAAACCAGTAACCGGGTCTTGCACCCAAGGGAGTATCTTGCCCCTCTTGTTATACCTGACACAAGTTTTTTTTTCTTTTTTTCATGCAACCGTGCATATGTAATAGTGATTTTTTTTCAGTCAGACCTAGATCCAACCTTCCCGAGTCCACGCCTCAACCACCAAGAATGGTGTTTGATTCAAAAACATTCACACACACCCACACTCATGTCAAATGCTTACGAATATGATATTGCCCGTACATATGTAATGTAAATGTACAGTTGCAATTCTCAACCATGTTCAATATCTCATGAACACATTATGAGCAATTCAATATCCGACAACATTTTTCCATGGTAAATTACACCATAAGTATATAACCACCATAAACAACCTCAATGTTAATATATCATATGCATATACCAACACCAATTCTAAAGCCTGTTATAATACAATCAATGCAAATAACACAATTAATCCACATAGGCATTTCATCAAACACCTTCAAGGCATAAATGTAAACACATAACATGATTAATCAATACATTTCTCAAAAAATCACAAACAAGTAATTTCTAAGTACCTAATTGATGCTAAAATTGATTTTTTTTAACTATTCTCAATACCCAAGCATGTTATAACATTTTCAATGAAACCAACATGCTACATCAACATAGACATTTTATCAAACACCTTCAAGGCACCAAATCATATAACACACAATCATGACCAATTATCACATTTTTCAAGAATTTACCAAACAAATAAATTCTACAAACCCAATTTATGCAAGATTGGTTTAGTATATTTCTATACCCATTTTCCATAATCTAGTTACACTAGGAGTATATCAAACAAGAGAATTCATCTCAAGTCATACTACCCATATCATATGGAACCTTAAGTTGAAAATAAAACTAATAAGGAAAAGAACCCTGCCTCTTGTAGCGTAAAACTACGGTAGAAAACTCCCAAGACCTGAAACAATCTTTAATCCTTGATCCCTCCAAAATTCTTTTTTTATTTTTTATTTTTCATCAAAACCTTCAATTTTTGGTTCTTGGCCCGAAGAATTCTGACCAATGTAGAGCCGTAGATTGTAAAGAGAAGTTGGAGAATTCTCTCTTTTCCCTCTCTTCCCCTCTAATTTCAAAAATCTGATGGGTATGAGGAGAAAATCTGATTTTGTTTCTCTATTTATACCCCTTAGATGCTTGGCCCTCGTTGCGCCACATGTCCTCCATTCCTGGGTCCCGTTTCATCCCAAAACAATTAAATTCATCTTGATTCAAGTTCAAAATATTTTTATTTCAACTAGCTTTAATTTATTTTTTAATTTTTAAAATTTAATTCCACGTCTCGTTTTTAGGCCACGCTACACCCGATTGCCCCAAAAAAAAACAAAAAATTTGATTGTCCCGAAATTCAACGAAAATTAACTGGGTAACTAGATTTCGTGAGACAAACCGAATGGTGAGGTCCATTTCATCATCCGAATTCCAGAAAAATTTGAGTTTTCAACCCATACCACAGTGGTTAATTACCGTTTTGCCATTTTTCATAAAAATTTTAATTTACTTGGGTTTTTATACAATCACATTTCGTCACCTGTCATGTTTGATATACTTTTATAAGATGTACTTTAAATTATATTATGTGTATTGTGATTAAAATCTAATCGCATAAATTTAATCTCGCGATACCCTATTGTATTGTAACACGAAAATCCGACCCTATTGAAATTTGATGAAAATTGACTAACTAGTTAGATTTTGTAATATGAATCCAATAGTAAGGTCCATTTCAACATCTGATTTCTAGAAAAAAAAATTAGATTTTTAACCCTTATTTTAACAAGTAATTATTGTTTTATCCTTTTTAATTAAGTTTTAATTTTCTCAGTTTTCACAAAAATTGCCAAATCAGGATGGGTCATGCTTTATCATGACCGATCTTCATTTCCTCAAATGGTTAATAAATTTTTTATCCCTAAAATATGCAGATTTTGTCAGTTTGATACCTAAAATATAAATTTGTTCAATTTTATCTCTAAAGTATTCAATTAACATGCACTTTAGAAATTTGACATCACATTAACCTCCAATTCATTCAAGTAGCATTCAAATCATCAAATCAATATTCAAAAACATCCAACTAGCATTCAATTCATCAAATCAATGTCAAATTAATATTTAATTCATCAAATGAACATTTAAATTCAACTAGTTAACATTAAATTAATCAAATTAACGTTTTATTTCATCCAATTAACATGCGATTCATTAAATTAATTGTCCATGGAAGAGATTCATCTAGCATTGAAATCAAATTACACTTTCTCTAAGTATGACTATGTCAAAGAGCCTATTTGTTCATAAAAACACAAGAGGCTTTTTCTCTGATGGAGAGGACGATGTTTTAGCACCTATTTTTGATTGTGAATCTAAATTAACATTTAATTCCAATTAGCCCAATTCATCAACTTAACATCCAAAATCATCCAATAAAGATTCAATTTATCAAATCAACATCAAAGTAACATACAATTTCATCAAATTAATATTCAATTCAATTTATCAAATTAACATTCAATTTCATCTAATAAACATTCAATTTATCAAATTAACATTCAATTTCATCCAATTAACTCCCAATTAATCAAATTACTAAAATAACATTCAATTCATCCAATTAACACTCAATTCATCAACTTAACATTCAAAATCATCCAATAAATATTCAATTTATCAAATCAACACCAAAGTAACATGCAATTTCATCCAATTAATATTCAATTCAAGTTATCAAATTAATATTAAATTAAGATTTAATTTCATCTAACAAACATTCAATTCACCAAATTAACATTCAAATTCAACTAATTAAACTTAAATTCATGAAATTAATATTCAATTTCATCCAATTGATATTTAATTCATAAATTAACACCAAATTAACATTCAATTTATCTAATTTATTTTCAAACTCATCCAATTAACTCTCAATTCATCAAATTAACATCCAAAATCATCCAACAAAGATTCAATTTATCAAATCAACACCAAATTAACACGCAATTTCATCCAAATAATATTTAATTCAACAAATTCACATTCATTTCATCTAATAAACATTCAATTCATCCAATTAACAATCAAAATCAACTAGTTAACATTCAATTCAATTCAATTAATATTCAATTTATCAAACTAATACCAAATTAACTTTTAATTCATCCAATTTATTCAAATGCATCCAATTAGCACAAAATTCATCAAATTAACATCCAAAATCATGCAATAAACATTCAATCTATCAAATCAACACCAAAGTAACATACGACTTTGTCCAAATAATATTTAATTCATCTAATTAATATTCTATTTTCATCTAATTAATATTCTCCTTTCATCTAATAAACATTCAATTCATCAAATTAACATTCAAATTCAACTAGTTAACATTAAATTTATCAACTTAACATTCAATTGAATTCAATTAATATTCAATTTATCAGACTAATACCAAAGTAACTTTTAATTCATCCAATTTATTCAAATGCATCCAATTAACACAAGATTCATCAAATTAACATCCAAAATCATCTAATAAAGATTCAATTTATCAAATCAATAACAACATAACATGCAATTTCCTCTAATAAAAATTCAATTTGATGAATGTGATTTATTTGATGAAATTAAATGTTAATTTGATATTAATTTGATGAATTAAATATATTGTTAATTTGATAAATTTAATTTTAACTAGTTTACTTTGAATGT